CAGGTCATGGGTGGTTTGGAGGTTTGGAGCCTGGGTGACTCATTCAGGGGTGGGGGATGGGTCCCGCTGCTGTGCACAATCCTCCAATCTGTGTGTAGGGCAGAAGTGGCTGCCACTGTTGGCTCCCCTCTGCACCCCATTGCTGATGCCCTGATAGCTGTGCAATGCCACATGCCTCCTGTGCACTGGCTGTGCTGCCTGCCCGCAGTGGGAGGCATGTGGCATTACATGACTGCCAGGGCACAAGCAGCAGGGATCAGAGTGCACCCTGAAGTGGCAGCTGCCTCCAGCCCACACAGCACATATGGGGCGCAGGGGGGACATATCCCCTGCGCCTGCCTCGGAGGTGCAGGCAGCAGCGGAAACCCTCCCCCCACGCCCCAGCCTTTCGCCACCTATGACAGTGACCTAATATGGGTTGTATCTTTTAAGCACCACTACAATACAGGCTACAGTTAGACCTAGATAGGTTACAAGGATGGGCAGAGGAGAACAGGATGGGGTTTAACATGGACAAGTGTAAGGTGATGCACCTGGGGAGGAACAATCGGCACCATACATACAGGCTGGGGAACTCCCCTCTTGTCAGCACGGAGGTGGAAAAGGATCTGGGAGTCATTATTGACTCCAAGATGAACATGAGTCGGCAATGTGGGGAGGCAGCTAGGAAGGCCAACTGCACCTTGTCGTGCATCCACAGATGCATCTCGAGCAGGTCCAAGGAGGTGATCCTCCCCCTCTATGCGGCACTGGTCAGGCCGCAGCTGGAGTACTGCGTCCAGTTCTGGGCGCCGCACTTCAAGAGGGATGTGGACAGCATCGAGAGGGTCCAGAGGAGGGCCACTCGTATGATCAAGGGACAGCAGGGTAGGTCCTATGAGGAAAGGTTGCGGGACCTGAACCTGTTCAGCCTTCAAAAGAGAAGGCTGAGGGGGGATCTTGTGGCCTGTTATAAACTGGTTAGGGGGGATCAGCAGGCGCTGGGGGAGTCCCTGTTCCCCCGAGCGCCGCAAGGAGTGACCAGGAACAATGGTCACAAGCTGGCGGAGGGAAGGTTTAAGTTGGACATCAGGAGGCGCTACTTCACGGTCAGGGCGGCTAGGGTCTGGAACCAGCTTCCAAGTGAGGTGGTGCAGGCTCCCACCCTGGGGGTTTTTAAGAGGAGGTTGGATGACCACCTTACTGGGGTCGTTCGACCCCAGTGCTCTTCCTGCCATGGCAAGGGGTCGGACTAGATGATCTGCTCAGGTCCCTTCCGACCCTAGAAACTATGAGACTATGAAATACAGATATAGAATGCTGTAATAATGAAACTAGTTTGAGTTAACAACTGTCCCTATCAATAACTTGCTTTTACCTTAGATAACTAAATAATTTTACTGCAAAATTCCCAATATTGTAAATATTGGGATAACCTTTATCTGAGGCAAACCATATATATTTTTAAGAGTGACCCTGTGCCTTCTCTTTTCTCTACACATTTAAGTTCTTTTTGTTTTTTAATGCACATTTATTGTTATATTTTTATTTTATAGTCTTATAATTATATTTTTATATTTACCAATAACAGCAAGTTTTCTTGGCTGATACCTTCATAGATCTGTCCCAGTTCTTGAAGAATGCAAATATCCTTCACATTTCTGTATTATTTGCTAAAATTTCACCACTAACCAGTAAGTGAACATTTTTAAAAGGCTGCAGAATTAAAAAGTTGCTTTCCCCCCATGTATAGTACTTTCTAAAATGTTTAGCGTTTAGTAGAATAAAGTACGCCTCAACAGCAGAAATCACTCAAAGTTGCTGTTAAGATAGGGTTTGAGTTTACAATGAGTTTCTTGCAGCATTTTTTGGAGCAGGATCAAAGCATTCCTACTTTTCCACCATCTCATCTCTTGTCTACCTTCTCCTGTAGCAGGGACAGACCAGCTCTATTTACACATGTCCCGGGGTGATTCTTTAGTGAAGTATCTCTATCCAGAAGGGTTACTGTGAATCTTTACTGCGTAAAAGCAGTAATATATAATGACCTGTGCAATTTTTTAAGTGTACTTAGAATTGGGATGCTTTTTATTTTCTGCTAAAAAATTCTTCACACTTTGAAACCGAATGTATGTGTATGTTTGTGAATGCACATACCTATGTGTGTGGCTAATGCCAGGCAGATGTGTGAATTCTGTTATATATACCTGGCTTTGGCAAAGATAGTTGGATCTCAGTATTTCCCTCCCACTCATTAGGGTGTCATTATAGCACTTTACATGTAGCTAATTAAGCAGGAATTGTGGTCTATTTCAATGCAATTGCTTAAGCTACTAATTGGATAAAAGATAGGAACTGCTACATTTTTATGGACCAGTGACATCCTGAACTGTATTCTCTTAAGTGAGAGGATAATTATCCTTACCTTGTGACAGAGAATAATAACCTTTGAACCCCAGATTGATAACTTGGAACAGGTGACTAGGACCAGGAAGTAAGTACCAGAGCTTCTGGATATCAAACCTTTATAATCTGACCAAACTCAGGGTAAGGGTGGAGGGATCAGGTTTTACCAGTGTGGCGATGCAAACATACTCCTCAGTCTGTTATCTTTGTTGTTCACTTATCAAGTATTTCAAATGAATGAGTACAAGTAAATACACTTGCAACATGTCTAGCATGTCACCTTTTGTTTTCATCTGTACCAGCAATAATTTCTCCTGATCAGTATAGTTAGCATGAAGTTAATGGACACGCAGGGGAATTGTGAGGTCTCCATTTGAAAAGCCCACACATGAATGTACAGACACAAATTACCTTTGTAGAGTTTCTGTGTTGAGTGACTGCATAGTTGTTAAACTTTTCATTTTTAACCTGAGTGAAAAGCATTGTTTAATGTATTTAATTTCTCTCTCTTTTGTTAGCACAGTAGAGTCAGGGGGATGGCTGCTTTGTCTGACCTCCCCTCTAAGGGAATAGTAACTGTAATGGGTTTAATTAACTATGTGGTATTGACGTAATTAGTTATCCCAGTGATTATACTTCTTTAATAAAAGCACTTCATTCGGGATGCATTTCTGTTCTGCATATGCAGAGCCTTACACCTATATTTCATAACTGTCTAGACATCACAACTATGTGCATATTTTAACATCGGCCCTTGAGAGGGAGGTTATCTTGTGTGGCTTAAGATAATTGGGAAGTAATGATTTTGCCCCCTGGTTTCTGACTTGTTTGCTTGCAGAGCAAAGGAGATGTGGGGGAAGGGTAGCAGCTCATTTTCTGTAAACTAAAAAGGGTGGGGGAAGGGCCATGTTTTGGAAACCATGCTTTTAGCAACTGTTTCTTTTTAAGCTATCAATCAGGGACAATAATACCAGTGGGAATTTGGGGTATTTAATCTGTGGATGAAGTAGATAGCATAGCAAGATAGATTATATGTTTACATATATATGAGCTCTTAAAATGTATGCATGAATACATATAGGTATATGTAACATAACTATGTATCCATTTATATTATGATATTTACATACATTCAGTCTAA